TAGGAGACCTGGAGACTTTTCCTTCCATATATGTGAGGCTCAGCAGTGTGAGTTGTTGTCTAGGGCTGGCCCTGTCACAGAGGGCGAGCGCATAGAGACATGAATGCAGCAAAGCTGCAGGAGAGAGTGAAATCTTTGGTGTTAGACGACGCCCAAACGACAGCAGCCCGAAGAACTTTGACCCTTCTGAAGCAACCGGTGAATGAAGAAAATGTGAGACTAGTCGTGGCCTTGCGTCAGTTGCAAGCAGAATCCACAGGCAAGTCGCTCAGTGAGGTGCGTGTGACCGGAAAGTTGTTCTCTTGTTGGCAGTCCTCTGTTAGTGTGAGCGCCAAGACTTCGGAGAAGTACTGGTCAGTGCCGAAGAGCAATTTTCCGGACGCTGCAGAAGACCCCGCTTTGAAGGAGTGTTTTGAGACTGGCCGGGGCGTAAATTCGAACACATGTTGAAGGGCCCTAATGTATCGCGTCAATTGTTCCTATTAGAACAAAAGGTGTGCAGACAGCAGAAAACGTTTTTTTGGCTTATCTGACCCAACCTCGGATGTGTCAGGACTATTTGATCGACTTGACAGAGTGGGATGAAATGCCGCCATGCTTCAATCCGCAGACACATTGGTTGATTGATCAGTGTGTCCGCAGACAGAATCTTGGCCTGGGAGTGAGGGAAGTGGAGTTTGTTGTGAGCTACAACAAGAAGAGCCAGAAAGGCACACCTACTCCAGCCGACCCTCCAGCTCCAGCAATCTCCTTTGAACCGACTTCGCCAGCAGTTGTTGGAGTTGCTCCTGCAGCCTCCTCCTCCTCCTCAGCTCCAGAAGTGAAGCCTGCGCTTCCACCGCCGCGCTTGCTAGCACGGTCTTTCAGCTCTGAGGAGGATGAAGTGGAGCTCATCGCTGCAAAGTGCAAGACGTGTTTCAGCGAGTCTTTGCTGTGGAGTGAGGACACACGCATTGTTGCGTTCTCGTGTGCGTAAGGAGTGTTTGGATGGTGTATTTTTCTCTAGGTTTGACTGATCTTCTGCAGGACCGGAATGCTCCGACGGCAGAGTATTGGCTGCGGGCATTTTGTGGCCATGCCAAGCGTGCCGCCGCCAAGGGTCAGGACCTCCCTCCAGATATGGCGATTTTCCCCAAGTTTGTGGCCACCAAGTTTTTGGAGCAGGGCGCTTGTGAGGACACGGGTTATCCACCCTAAGGAAGTTTTGATCGTTTCATGTCTTCCTTGTTCCGTCGTATGTTTGTTCAACTCAGCTCTGAGTTCATGAGCTGATTGTTTTCGGTGCCTCGCTCCTCGCAGGTGTTGCCACATTTCACCCAGTTGCTCAAAGATTTGAAAGAGAAGGTCCCTTCAATCTTCCCCAAGCCCGGATTGGTGGATGCACTCATTGCCATTGCGGACTACGATTGCAGCGGCTCTTCTTTTTGTGAAGTGGACCTGTCATCTTTGAGCTTGTCTGCGCGTGCTGCTCTGGTTGGTAGCGAGCTATACAAGTCTTGGATGAAGAAAAGCTTGGAAGAGCGAATTTCCAAGTTGCAGCAAGCGCAGAAGACACCGCAAGAACTCCGGCCTCTCCTTGAGCCTCTTGCCAAGCTGTCTGATGACTCTCGGGTTACCTTCGCATTGACTTGGTGTGGGCCCGCATCGTACGATCAGAGGCTGGCCTATTTGCTTTCGGACGTCGGCAGGTTTGATTTGCTTAAATTTTGGTACCCAACTGCACCAGAGCTTTGCCTGTCTACTTTCGTCTCCGAAGAGCCGAAATTCGGTCACTTCACAGAGAAGCAGTACCTTGCTGGCTTGGAGAGTCTCTCCAAGTGTTCCACAGCTTCTTCTTTCATCAAATTGCAGGTGGTGAAGAGTGCCTTGGATGATTGGGCCTGTTTCTTCTTCCCCATGCATGCGAGCGTCCGACAAAACCTAGCGAATCTTGGGGTAACCGATGGGGGCCGACCCATCCTAGGCCATGTCCTTAGGCTAGTTCAGGGCCATTACTTTCCTGGCAGGTTTGCTTGCGGATTTTACACGTCTCCGTGTCCTTCCACAAGGAGGAGCTGTTCGTGCTTGGGCATGGGCTTTGTTTCTCGAGAATTCTAGCGCCAAGTTGGGAGTGGCATTGGATGATGACAACGATGAGAAGCTGAAGAGCTTCCCCCCCGAGACCTTGGATGATGAGGCGTTGTCCACCTTGCACAAGTGGTACGTGACCAAACTCGGTCAGAAAAAGGACCAAACTGGCCATGCGAAATTGCAGCCGTGCATGGATGGTTGGAAGAGCAGAGCTGACAAGGCGAAGGAAGAAGCTTTGGCTGCCGGTCGTGCCGCAGAGAAGGGTGGCCACAAAGAACCTCAGCAGGCAGCCCCACCTGCGGCTGTGACTGATTGGAAGGAAGGAGACGTTGCCATTGCTCTCCCTGGCAAAAGAAAGTCAGAGTTCGACAACCAAGAAGGTGTCGTGCTCAAAGTGCTGGCCAAAAAGCTCCGTCTGGAGTTCAAGCGCTTGGGGGAGACAAAGGATGTGGACAAAGACAGATGCCAAAAAGCGGCCAAGAGTGGACGTCAGAATGCCGATGAGAAAGCCGAAGAGAAGAAGGAAGAGAAGAAGGAAGAAAAACCTTCGCTGACGGAGCTCTTGGGCTCAGACGTGGTGGACGATTAGGAAGACAACAACTCGCGCCTGAAAAAGTAGCAGCTTCCTTTGACCGCTCAGTGTCCTTCGCTTTTTGGGTGACGAGGGTGGACTAACGACATGTTCACTATTTCCAATGAATAGTATTTATACATTAAACCACACTATTTGACACTATTTCACACTATTGCAATATTTCAGAGGTCGTTGAAGGCTTCCAACATTTAACACCTAATTCTTTGGTTTTCCTGCTGTTCTGTGCTTGTGTTGCTTTTCCTTGCTTCTTTTGTTTTCCTGTTTTTCTTTGCTTGTGTTGCTTTTATTGTTCTTCCCTTGCTGTTCATTGCTTCTTTGTGAATCCGCTTTCTATCCATGCTTTTGCTGTTTTTTGTGCCTTCTTTCTTGCTTGGTTGGTTTTTCCTTCTGTTTCTCCTGGTTGGCTTTTGTTTCCTTCTTCTCGGGTCTCTTTCGCAACCTTTCTATGATCAGTGAGGTTGGCAAAGCGCTGCCAAGGCAAAATTTAAAGAAGAAAAGGGACCATTCCAACATAGTACATCTTCTGTGGACGAGCTTTTGCAGGAACATGTTGAGGCACAGGAAGGGGAGGACAGTGAGTTTGATGCGTTGGAGGAGGTCAGAGATGCAGCAGACATTGCAGATGAGGCGGGTGATTGCATTGACCACCATGAACATGAAGAAACGCTTGACCCCCTCATGACATACAAGCAGCATTCTGTGTGTGTGAGAGTGTGGGGGGCACCTTGCAAATTTTGGCCAACATGAGTAGGTGTCCTCACGGTTGGTGGATGACCATGGCTACGCTTGTGGCAGCTTGTGGCACGAAATCATCGACTTGGCAGCGTGCCTTTGGAAGATTTGTTCCCAGGCTTCGAGTGCATCAGTACTCGTTAGTTATAAGTCGCCACGTGCTCTCCAAACATGATTCCATCAAAAAATGGCAGTTGGTCAAACCCGGGATACTTTGGTTGGCCTAGTCAAGCTACATGGTGTGGGACTTCCAGGTTTGGAGAATGGTCTCGTCCTTGGGACGCTTAGGGTTCTTGAGCTTAAATCACTCCTAAAACCTCCTAAGGGCAAAAAACCGACAAAAGCACATCACCCTAGGCTCCAACATCAAGCTCCCCCAAAACACACCGGCCCACCGGCCCACCTGGCAGCGCCCGCCTTCGTCCCGCCCGAGGTGGGACGAAGCGCCGTGGCCCGACTTCCCCTTGGCACGAGATCTCTGCCGAGCGCCACAGCGGGAGGTGGTCAGACTCGTCCCGGGCCTCCTGGACTGGGTTTCCAAGAGCCCGAAAGTTCATGGCCTGCGTGTCACCTCGGGGTGGGATGTTCTGGGATGTTCCCTATATGACGAACTTAAAATGAGCCCCCTTCTCAACATGTTTTTTTCTTGTTTTTTTTTTTCATCCCTTCTCTTCCACCCACCTGTTTGAGTAGGCTTTTGTACCCATCACCCGGTCAGGTCAGGTTTGGATCTGTCGGTGAGACGTCACTTCTTCCAGTGGATCGGTGGGCGAAACGACGGAGGAGGTGGCGAGGAGGTGAAGACGGAGGCTGGATGGAGGCGGTTTTTTGGATTGGGAGCTTCATGTATAGACTGTATAGACTTCATGATTCTTGGAATGATCACCAACCCCTACATACCCAACCTCCTGAAAAGAGTCCAAGAAGAACCTGACATCAACAAAAATTGCAAAGGTTTAGTAGGAATTATTTTTGTAAAATTCCCTTCTCGGGAAAAATCAAACCAACCTCACCCACACAATTTGGAGGGCCTGATTGTTCAAGATCGGGCCACAACCTGAGAGTCCAGTCGATAAAAAACAAACATCCTTTACTTCAACCCTAGCCTATCCTGGCCTCGCCTTCCAAGACCAGTGGTTCCATTGAGCTGGCCGAACTCCTTGGTAATATCCCCTCGGTTGTTCAGGATTCCAAGGATTAAAGTATAATCCCTAGGGCCCCAACCATCTCCTCAAAAGGTGGTTAGACCCCCCTGGCACCCACCCCAACCACCGAACCTCAGGAGGTGGGCCAGGAGCCCTTGGGAATTAAACAACCATGGTGGGCCAGGAAGGCAGCCTTACGGTCATCCTTTCGACCGACCGACCCGGGCGTTTGTGTGTGAAAACCGCAGCAGATCCCTCCGGTCCTTCCAGTGGATCCCTCCGCTGGAAGATCGAAACTGAACGGGTTGACGGAGCTCCAGCTTCACGGGCTTCTGGTCATACCGAAACAGTTCAGGTGCGGGACCGGAGTAGTAGGGATGATTGAGACCACATCATGAATACATAACATGTGTCCGAAGGTGTGTCAAGCTTCAAAGTGCAACCTGCGAGCCAAGTGCATGCCATAGGTGGAGCCGAAAGAGAAAGTTCAATATGCCAAAAGAATGACGGACAGTTGACTTGATTGCTTTGCAGGCAGCACTGACTGAACGTGCAGCGGCGGACATGTGCATCTTTGTGATAATTTCAGGTCATGTCACCACCAGCACCCAGCAAGTTGGGCAACTCCAGGTGTTCCTTACTTTTTCCCCCGTCCAGAAATCCTCCCCACACCGTTGGGCTTCTGCAGACGCCGACCGCGAGTTCGGGTGTGCAGCCTGGGGGGTCGAGTTCTTTTCTTCCACGAGGCGCTTGATGCCGCCGAGGTCAAAAGCTTCTAGCCTTTTCCCTCGAGGAGCGCATGAAGGATTGCGACGAGGCGCTTTCATACCAGCACCTTCATTCCGGGGTCACCTGGCTGGAAGCCCCAGCCCACTATGATCAGGGACACCCCTTGAAGGTCCAGGTAGGTTTTTGTTGGGCTTTACCACTCATACGCTCGCCCCCCCCCGAGCGTTAGGATTTCGAGGTTGGTCAGAACAGGATTCGGCGGTGCCCATGGGTGGGTGCCGGTGACGGACGGTGATGGGTCCGATTTGTTCGGTCACTGGCTACCTCTCTTGCCCATATCACTCCATATCACTCCATGGGACTGCCATATATGCCGCCCCATTGACCCCCCCCAAATCACCCCAACTGATCGGCAGTCCAGACTGGCAGTCCCAGACAGGTCGTGTCTGGGTCACGATTTTTTTTCCGTTGGCCCGGGGGATCCACCGGGGCCGTTTTGGGTGGGCGCTCGTTTCTGCAGCGCTCGTTGCGCGGAGCCCGGTATGTGAACACGGCCCCATGAGAAGGCCCATCATCGAGACCTATGAAGATGGGCCTACCAGCAGTCACAAAGGGGTGCTGAATGGAGGTTAGGGGTGCCCATTATCCACTCGCTTAGGGACTAAACACCACCCCTTTGTGACTGCTGGTATATTTGATCACCGAAATGACTTGCAATGTTTGGTTATGTTTATGGTTTTGAGGCGAGAATCAGCTCGAATAGTAGCACTTAGTAACCTTTTGGTTCAACAACTTGTCTTTGGCTGTGGGCACGAGGCAGAATTCAAGGTGCCATTGGCACTTAGCTCAATCAGACTAAGCTTCTACAAGATGGGCAAGTGGTCAGAGGGCACAGTTTGCACCAAAGGTTCAGCAAGTACCTTAAGCCTTAAGCACATGCGGCATGTGTACTTCAGGCACAAAATAAGTTTGAACTCAAGGGAAGTGAACTCCGGTGGGAGGTGCGTGCCAACTCCCAACCCAATTGCACAGCGAGTTGTGGCTTCTCCACGCAGGCTGAACAGAGGGGGCACCCTGGAAGTTCAGTCGACTATATTTATTACACTTTTATTACCTTGGTTTTGTGGATCGGGGTATGTTTTGCCTTCCCTATGGGTAAACCCCCTTTACCTTTGGGCATGTGCGCCGTGATGTCAACGCGATGGTCAGCCAGCATGATGGGGTCTTGTGTGGAAATCTAGAGAAGAAGCCCGGGTGTTGTAAAAGTATTTGTGGTGGACTTTCGCGGCCTCGCAGGCCTTGAATCATCCCTGGCTCAAAGAAGGATGAGGCAAAGGGGATGGGGAAGCTGCTAGGTGAGCTGCTTGGGAGTCAAGCGAGGGTGAAGCTGCCCTTGACCAACTTGGGGCCAGATGAATCTAAGCGGCCAGAAAGGATGCAAATTTCAGAGAGAGAGAGTATGATCACTTCATTATATATATTTCCGATGACTTCTGTATAGTTCTGTAGAATATACTCCTCCAAGATAATTGATTGCAATCTTGATTGCACAGCTGCCTTGAAAGGAACATTACATGTGTGGTTTGGGAAATGTGTTTCGTCTTCAAAGTAGAAGGCAAGACAGTCTTAACACACATCAATTCAGCAGCGAGCTATATTATAGTCGTTTTTGAACTGGTATTAGGTTGACATTTAAATGTCCAATTTATTTTGGTTACCTGATGATTATCGCCCAACATGTACTCGAAGTATCGCCAAAGTGTATCGGAAAGAGGTGATTCGAAGGCTTGCAGCCTTTTCTTTTTGTTTGTTTTTTCCTGTTTCTGGAACACTTTTTAGATACGGTTGAGGCATTTTGGAGCAGTCTCCCTGGCTGTTTAAATTTTAAATTCTTGAGCTGCTTTAGCCTAAAAAATCCTTAGTGAAACAACGGTTGCTTGTGATTTAGACCATTAAACTAATGGCTGCTGATGGAATCCCAGCGGAGGAAACGTCAGTGGTTTGAATGGATTGAAGGACCGAGTCGGGCAACCCCCACCCTTTAGATAATGTATAATCAACATGCATGTGCACATTATCTAATATATCATTTAGATCTGTGGGCAGCAAGACCTTTTCACATGTGCATTGTCCCCTGCACATAGGGCCGCGTCGGGCCACCTTGAGAGTTAAACATTTCGGAATCGTGATTTCATCCAAAGCGACACGCTATTCACATCGCAGCTACTCTCTATTGGATGAAATCTCCGTATGGCCCTGTTCTTTCAGCGACCATTGGCCAATCTCCATGACCCTTCTCAAAAACGACGGCGTCATCTTTTTAGTTAAAGGGTCCGAAATCATGTTTCCTCCTCCGACCCACCTCACCTGACCCGATGAATGTGCCAA